ACACGGCTGAAGTTAGAGCATAGAATGCAGGAATGAATTATACAAAAGTACACACTCTTCTCACGCAGACACTGCACACTTACACAGCCATTACCACACGCAGGCGTAACCTCTGCCCTCACACAGAGTGCTTCTTGTATCTAATTGCTGCTAACTCATTTAGCACTTCATGTAAGCTCAGCTAGGTCCAATTACAACAAGAGCGTGGAGCTGGAGTAGGAGGCCATTTAACCGATTGGCAAAGAAAAATGTAGAACATAACTTTGTTCAATGATTAATAGAGACAATATTTTGTGTCCATAAGACTGATATATTGATACATACATGTATGTTTGTTCATATACACATGATGTCCTTTATCCTGAGAAAAATATGTTGTTTTAGGTATATGCAAATGGTCCCTTTCTAGTTATACTATACTACTAGTGATACCGTTTTTGGTTGCTATGAAAATCCCTTCATGTACATGTCTTCTCAGTTTGTATGCACTTTGGCTACCTGTGGTTCTACACGATGTGGATTTGATGGCTGACCTTAATTAATTACAGTAAACCACAGGCTGGGTCTAAAGAAGTTTCACTCCACAAGGCTCCAGCTGGTAAAGTCTGGATTATAAAATAGTGATTAAAAACTTTGAGGAATAAAAAAAAAGGTTTTATTGAACTCTGCAGGGGACATTCAACACAAAAATGTTTTGAAATGTGGGAATTGTGTACAAAATGGCCATATTTTCTAAATAGTGGTTGATTAATAAGACTGTTTTTTATAGTTTTAAATAACATTTAAAAGGATGTGTACATGCAGTGTAAAGCTCAAAGCAACAAAGGAAACAGAGTGACCTCTTATGTGTACTTGTGCATATTTGCAAATGTGTTAATGACTCCAGTGGGCCAATAATGCACACTTTCTAGCTAGTACAGCAGCCGCGGCGCCAGGATTTCAATTGTGGGTGGGCCAATGTAATTTCGGCTGGGCCTGTTCTAATAGATGTTTCTCGTTAACAAAAATGTAATAAAAATAAATGCCTGCATATCATTGTAGGCAACTGTGTAATGCATATTTCCTATAGTAAAGACACTTTTTCAAAACCCTTCTCTTTTAAACATTTTCACTTATGAGAAGCTTAAATATTATTTAAATGATTAAGCGGCACGCCGCTATGAGTGAAAATAAATGTTATACTGCATGTTATTTAGTTTTGGTTCACAATACATTGATACGTTTAGAAACAAAGAGCATACAACGGCAGAATATGGAATAATGAGCGAGCACCTGATGTGTGTCTGTGTGGTTAGACCGCAGCCTGCTGTCCTTTAGCGGATCGAGCGAAGTGAGCGGCCGTGCGTAAAAGGCACTGGTTCTCAGACGCGGCACTTTTCAGAGGCTGCAGATTTATCATTAGGCTACTTCCTTCTGATACTGCAGAGCTTTTGGGCAGCAGACACTGTTGCCTCACACTCATAAGCTTTGCTGATTTGGGCTGGAGAATGCGTCTGGGTGCGCTCTGGTAGTTGCAAATGGCATTACATTTTAGCTCTACGTTTCTTAATCATTTCCCTAGATATTTAGTCTCAATATGAAATGAGGAATCTCTTGCTTTGCACACGTGACAATTATGTCCGGTAAAACTTTACGTGTTCCCGATTTTTCTCAATGATCTCTCCCTGTCGGCCCTCTGGGTTGAGTAGCTGATGGAGGATGGTTCCATGGTCAGACTTCTCGCACTGTCTGTAGTTTGTATTTCTCTCCATAGCTATTGCATGAGCTGCGCTGCATTCGTGTTTACTGAGAGCATAGTCGATATGTTTCCAGTCCCTGTAACCATGGCGACTGAATGTATCTTCTCCGCCGGCCCCGCCTCTCACTAAAATGTCGGCACATTTTACAAAACACACTGTCCTTGCTAATGCTATACTCCAAGAATGTGTTCTTGTCATACCAGTGGGCAGCGGAGCTCCTTTTCTTTTGTCCAAAAAGTGTCTGAGGGTACTTTATGAGATGTGGCTGTGGAGCCGCCGGGTCATCTATGGCTGAGAGGTCCGGCACTGGGATGCTATTTTCTGTTGACCTGCAACGGATGCTACGTCCCGCAGAGGGACTGAGCTCAGCGGGGCACAACATTAAACACACTCTCGTCTCTCTAAGGCGGCACCTGCTGTGAGGATGACTCTTCTTACTCTTTCAAATGAAAACCTGAACATCGATTGTTGTGACATCGTTAGTGAGTGCGGTATATTTTTTGTGTCTGTCCAGTCCACTGTCCTCCATCTGCGCGCGCCCGCGAGACGTTCTACGATGTGTTTGCTCCCGCGCTTCCACTATGAGTTCGGTCCCAAATTCACATTTTACGTTGCCTGATTACATTAATTCATGTTGCTTTTAATTTTCTAAGTTTTTTTTAAAGGGAAACACATGTTTGCTCTTATTTTATTATGTAATCGTTAGTTTTGATAATCAAAAATAAAAATGTTGGAAACTATATTTTCGCCCAGTCATTTTTGATCAATGAATGGGTGGGCCCAGTAACAGAGTGGGTGGGCCTAGGCCCAGTAGGCCCACCCATAACGCCGCGGCTGTAGTACAGTAAAGATTCTGTAATAGTTTCTGTGTGTCTGTTTGCAAGCTACTCCTACTTCATCAAACCACATATATTGGCTGCAGAGATTCAGTTATTAAAGTTAACAAATCAATTAGAAATATAGCCTATAATGGCTTTTTTTGTTCTATTGTAAATCACACTACAGCTTGTTTACTCTCCACAGAGTAGTGGAGCTTTATTCAGAAGAATTTAAAGTGCACAGAAGTTATATGCAATAGGAAAATAGAGATTTAGCATCTCTCATTAAAACGTATAGAGTGCAATACACGTTTAAATGTTTTCAAATACCTAATGTATGAAACTGAATTTGATCTCATATATAAATACATGAATAATTGTGCAGGAGTTTGCCTTAATGAGCTTCAAATGTTCTTCTTTCTTTTTCTCTCAACGGCTTCTCTTCCATCAACATGTTTGTACCTACTGTTGCAACTGTTTGTGTTGTTGTTGTTGTGCGACTCTTCTGCCTTTGTAGACGAGGTATGGAAACACTTGACAGAAAACATAACATATATATACACTACTGCTTTGCCTCTTGCCGAACTCAGGAAGAGTTTCCTGAGTTCACAAACAACACAGTGCAAACAACTAAGGCTTCACAAACTAGGAGTGAATATGAAAATGAGAAAGGAAGTTTTACTTTTACAAAGAGTCTTCGAATGCATTCAATGAGTCAGTCACACGGTTTACTTTACACAGGATTGAACTAAACTGATAAAATACACATTTTGGGAGTTCTGTCTCACTTGGAAGATTAACTCAAACCTATACATTATTATTTCACTTAGTGGGAACGTAAGAGAGAAATGTTGTTTGTGTTAATCATGAAGAACGACTTGAGCCAGTCAATCAGATCATATTCATAATAAACCATTACAACGTCTTTATCAGAAACTTCACAACATTGCAGAATCTCGAGGAGGATTGCATGTTCCTCTGACTGTCCGCATGTCATTCAGTCACGCTCCCTTTCTATGCCATTGTTTTAAATAATTCTCTCCCACCTATTTCTCCTATTCTCTCCTTCACTGTCTTTCTCACCCATTCTCTCTCCCAAAGCTCTCTCTTTTGTTTCCCTCTCCTGTGACTGACAGCTGCTGCTAAGACTTGATCCACGCACGTCTAAGTCCCTCTCACTCTTTAATTAAAGGAATTATTCATCAAGAGTCCTGTGAAATATATATATAAATAAAGCAAGGAGAGTGGGCTTTGTTTAATTGTGTAGACTAGAGGATGGAAGTGATCACAGCCCAGTAGGACTCTTTTACACACAGCATGACACAAAGGCAGGGGAAATGGAGCTTCTTAAGCAACCGGTGTGTGAGTGGAGGAACATTTCTTCTGGGTTGTTTAAAAAAAAAAAACTAACGCGCAGAGACAGATGTCCAGATGGGAATATGCCTGCGTTATGATGAACATTTGTGCTGTGTGGAAAACATACCGCAGCACCCTGATTTATAACAGTGAGGTGACTGCATCAGGGTTTGATGCTGACACAAATAAACAGAGTCGGCTGGCAAAGAATACAAAGTTGAACCCAGCTCAACTTTTGTCGCAATGCAATGTGACATTACCCACAAACACAATAAGTTGGCTAATAAAATGGAATTAAGTACACAGTCCTGGTACATTGCTCTGTAAGGTAAACATGGTATTTCTGCTGTTTACCTCACAATTGTCCAGACCGCAGATAAAATGATTGCTGTTGACAACAACCATGAACTTTTGAGAGTTGTGAAATCCTTCCTCATGATGTAATAAATCGCTCTGCAGTGTTCTGGTATCAAGAAAAGCTTCCAAACTTATGAATCCATTAGTCAAAGCAGCCATGCTGGATTGTATTTCATCCTCACACTGATACCTGAAACAACATGCGTCTATCATCTTCAATGCAGCCTCTTGGATGATTGTAACACTGTGCGGTTTGAATCTGAGAGAGCTTCAAAATAAACTGTGCAGTTGTGGGGGGTTAATATTTGAGCTGTATTGGCTTTCACTAAAGTTATTGTTATGTCTGCTCAATATTGACATACAGATATCAATACTAGAGAAACATTAGTCTACACGATCCCTACTGTAAATGTTGTGGCAATATAAATGTACTATAACTGTGACAGGGATATTGATCTGCGTATGTCTATCAGTATGTGTGTGTGTGTGTGTGTGTGTGTGTGTGTGTGTGTGTGTGTGTGTGTGTGTATGTGTGTGTATGTTTGTGTGTGTGTGCAATGTATTCAACACATTTATGAGAAACCCCCAAAAAGGATTGTTGCTTCTCGTTCCAAAGAGCTTCTCGTTCCAAAGAGCATCATATGCTCCATGGTCTTGCACACTTTGTAAACCCCACTCACACACACACAGTCATGCACACACACACCAAACACACACTGCTTCCACCTACCTTGGATCTTTCTGAATGGAGTCAATGGATGGTGAGCGCTGCAGGCTGCCTTCAGGCGGCAGGGCGGGTCCTGACTTGCTGTAGGGCGAATCCACCACCGAGGGGCAGTACTGCAGGGTGCGGTAAGGGTCCGCCACATAGGGGTCCGAGCCATACATGTCTCCAACAACGCTTGAGGTGTAGCCTGGTCCCACCGTGGCATAGCTGTTGTTCCCGCCACGGCTGTAGTTTCCTGTCCCTGCGCTGTGACTTGCTGTGCGCTGCAAAGGGGCGGAGTCAACACCAGGGGAGGATGGAGCTAAGGTGGGAAAGTAGGGACAGAGGACATAACTTAGGACCTGGTCATAGGCACGTTGGGTAAGGTCTGGAGGGCAAAGGAGAAGACAGGAGGATAAGAGAAGAGGAGGGGAGGACAAAATGAAAGGTGAGGATAAGAGGAGAGGAGAGGAGAGAGGTGAGGTGAGGAGAAGAGGAGAGGAGAGGAGAATAGAAGAGGAGAGGAGAGAGGTGAGGTGAAGAGGAGAGACAGAAAGGCAGTTACAGAGATAAACAGGTTGTTGGGAAGAGACAAGCGTATCCATATGGATGGATAGATATTGGCCACATGCCCGGGACCAATGTTCAACAGAGGGAAAGATGAAGAGAGAACGAGAAAAAAGTTTTGTTAGTTAAAGTTCAGAATCATTATATTGAGTGCTTCTTCAAATGTTACAACAATCTGAAGTACTAAGAATTATGTGTGAAAACATTTGAGAAAGTCAACATTATAATTGAGTATGTAGTTAAAACTATTTCCACTGAGGGTTTGTCAACACTTTGTCAGACTCATTAGCCTGCCATTCACATACAATGAAAAATGGTAAGTCTATTTGTGGGTAGCTAGAGGACTGCTGCAAAAGCTTTTTTCCCCCACATCTGCCTGGTGGAATAATAAGGACTAAAGAAATCTATAAAATAAGAAAATAAGTAAAAACATCAAGCTATCTCTCTTTGGAGTGAGATGGAAATTGAAAGGGGATTTGCTTGTGGGATGTGGAGCCTGCAGAGGGACAGGAGCTGTCACCTGCTGTCATGTAGGAGCAGCAGATCGCTCATACATCAGGGTGTTAATGTGAGTCTGGGGGCCTCATTTCTCTGGCTGTAAAAACACTAAGACAGACAGTTTGTGTGTGTGTGTGTGTGGGGGGGTCCATATAATTGTCCATTAGAACTAAGGTATGTGTACACAGAAATACACACCTAGACACATGCAAAACACCATAAATGTGTTCTTCAGGGAGTGTGTGATAAATCCTTGATATCAATACGTGGTGTGTTTGACGGGGCCAATCTGACACAGGCCAATGAGTTCATCTTCAGACGAAAACGAGCCTTTCAAACTGAGTCTAGGTGTGAAAATGCAAACCACTACAAGGCACGCACTTTTAAATGTACACATATCACACACATCATGTAACCCCCCTCACACAAACACCAAAAGAAAGGAGGTCTTGTGAATGCGAGTGTGTGTGTGCTGAGGTTGAGTGTCTCATTGTTATGTGAACAACAAAGTTGCTCTTTAGCGATGTCTTGAGTGGTGGCATTTACTTGACCTTCACAACCCTGTTATCACTCTTAAGCTTTTACACACAAAAACACACACACGAACACACACTGATCTGATCTGCCCTACCTATTATCTACCTAAGGCAGATTGAACACATCAGTCATGTTTCAGAGCTATTTTTCTTTCACCAAACGCTGGTAAACTCTGACAGTCGGCCCACCAGAGGCACAACAAACCTTTCGGATGACATAACTACATTAGCATATTTATATTTTCTGATATGAAAATTGGGTTAATAATAATCCTTTGCACAGCCAGACAGTGAACATTTTAACTTTCAGACTTTGCCATGCAATGCCCATGAGGCTAAAGGCTGTTGGAGCTATTCTACTGATGCCCCATATTTGACAAATATCCAATGAATAAGGCAGGGACAGAGAAACAGTAAGAGAAATGACTGAGAGTTGAATGATGGAGCTGCAGTTTAAAAAAAGACCCAAACCAGAGAAGAGAGAGGAAACAACAGGCGGTGGAGTTAGCGACAGTACAGCCGTGTAGAACAGAGGGTATAGGAGGGTAATGAAGCAGAGTTACTCCCATCAGAAGCAAATCCCAGTCTATTCTGTACTCTTTGAATGGTGTGTGTAGTGTGTCGGTCCTTTAGAACGTCTCATTAGTAGCCGGGCCTTTGGGCTAACAGCACCAGTGTCAGTGTCACAGAGACACTTGACATCCAAATGAGACAAACCCTCAGAGCCAAATAGGGGGTGGGAGCATAGTGAAAAGAAGAGAGGAGGAAAACCTAAAAAAAAAAGGGCCTGTCTAATTATTTTCATAGCCCGTGCTGTGAGTATGGATGTCCTCGGGTGAGCTGAAAAAGAAAGAGGAATGGTAGGGAACAGCGGCAGAGAAAGCTCCCTAAAATGTCCTGCCAAATGACTGTTTAAGCCCGTTCCTTTGTTTCCACATTCTCTTACTTTGTATGCAGCTTCCCCACGCCTCTTTACGCATTAGGTTTTCTTCTTCGCTCAATCTTGCTGTCGGCTCTCCCTTTCTTCTCCTCCTACCTTAAGTAAATGGAGTGCTGCTGCATTTATCATTGGCTCTGGTAATGGTGTGTTCTGACTGATGACTTGACCTTTGGGCCATTATTGCCTGGCAAAAGTCAGTGTGCGGGTGCCTGTTTATGCATGTGTGTGTGTGTGTGTGTGTGTGTGTGTGTGTGTGTGTGTGTGTGTGTGTGTGTGTGTGTGTGTGTGTGTGTGTGTGTGTGTGTGTGTGTGTGTGTGTGTGTGTGTGTGTGTGTGTGTGTGTGTCGTGTATTTCCGATGTGTTTGAGTGTGTATTCTTTTATTCCTGTCCTTTTGAGAACCTGTTGGGGTTTAAGACTTTTTGGAGTAACAGCATTTCTTTTACAAGTCTTCAAGATATTTTGTCAGTTTGGATAAAAGATAACGATTCTAAATATACTAAATGTAGGTTTTCAAGTAAATCATGTCATTTTAAAGACATTTCAAGATTGTGTGTTATGGAATAAAAATAGACAAGTAAGCCAAACAAATGTGTATACGAGTTTGTTTTGATTTGAAAAGACCAGCACCAGGGAAACTTACTGGTGCCGTTTCAAGATAGATTAACATATCGTGAAATGTGCGTACAAACAGACACACGCATGCACGCTCCACTAACACCTCTCACCTAATGCTCTAGCGGCGTGAAATTGTGTTGGAGAGGAAATGAAAGGGCGGGTGTGTCTTTGTATTCCCTTGCCTCTGCGTAGAGTAAACACATCGCGGCTGTGCTCCGGCTGGCAGATTAGCGACGGGCAGGGAAACTCTATTAGTCATTTGATACAGTGATACCTCTGCAATTAGCCAGCCAGCTGAGGGGCCGGCTAGCTGAAAACGGTACCCACTTTTTCTCTGAGGCGAGGGAGCACTCGTTGGATTTACAAAAGATGGAGGAAAGCAGGGAAAGAAAAAGATAGACATAGGGGGGGAAAGTAGAGGGGGATCAAACCAATCCACCAAGCTTTCCATGTCCTGGTTATTTTATCTCTGCCTCCATTTCTTTCCATCCTACTCTGTCTATGTCACTCTGTTTTTCTCTATCACTCCCTTGCCCTTTTCTCCCAGCCTCTAGATGTGTCCTGCTCTGTCTTTAACAGCATCCATCTTTTTTTCTCACTCATCTCCTCTGAAAAATTCCCCTTTCAACCCGTCTCTTTCTGTATTTTACTCCCTCTCTAGTTCGATATTCTTTCGCCTGTCATCCTCTCTCCGTCATCCATTCATTTCATGTTTTTCTCCCCCTTTCTTCCCTAACCCCCTTCTGTCTCTCTATCTCTCCCCCTCTATTGTGGTTGTAGTAGACTATGTGATCAGAACTGAGGACATGTCCTTTCTCTCGACACGCTTCAGCGCTCAGCACGATTACACAAAACCCCCCAGTACAGTCTCTATCCCTCTCACATACACACAGTGGCATGGACACACACAAGCACACAAACATGGGTTTCTAAATATGCAAGTGATTGACAAGGGCTAAACGTGCATGCCTGTAACACGTATTTGTATAATACTTTAAGGTCAAACAACAGCATGCATACACAACCTGTCTATAGCAGCCACGGCTGAAGCAAAAACGCACAAACTCACACACACAAAACACACGCTGCTTGAATGTGGAGGAGAGTAGGGATTAGTTTCTCCTTCTGTTTATCCCTGGGAGAGCCTCCTGGCCAACACACAGCTCTTGATGTTCCTGTGCTGGATGCACTGGAAAACACACACGCACACAAACATGCACACAAATGCCCTCCTTTGCACTTGAAGTATCAAGTGTGAGCGTTTTACAGCGTGGGAGCTGTAGGACACTTGTCCCTATGAGTCAAGGTGCCATGTCTTTCTCGGAGCTATCCACTTAGACACAGCAGGTGCTGCAGGCCAGTGGCTGCTGCTAAATGCTCCTGCTGGGGAAGGACAATTGTGAAAGTCATGAAAGAGGAGTTTGTTCCTTTCCAACTGAAGGCCGCTCCATTTATAGAAGCCATTCAGCCAATGCACGTGCATTGAAATTCTTATAAAATATATATATATATATTTTAGTGAGGGGCGGCAAGTAGGCTGCCTTATTACTATCTGTAAATAAAACATAATATTTAATACATTTATATGCTGTATTACTGTGTTTTGTAATATAGATATTGATGAACAGCTCTCTCTCACAACCCTGAATCTAAGATAGGTGGGTCTGAAAATGGTCAGAGTAATGTAGTGACGGTGAAAGGGTTTATGCAAAAGGGGCATAACAGGAAGTTTGATATTAAAGATACCAACCTTTGTGAGGCCAATGTTAATAATATGCATTTATGGTGCGATAAGAAACAATAGAGAGACAAAGCACCAGAGAGGAAATAAGCAATGTTATAAACAATAACCTGTAAATCAATGAATGAATAAAACATGTTTCAAACAGCAGCTTTGAATGTTTCGTTTCATTTGATGAAACAGTCAATGTTGCTTTTGTGCCGAGTTCAATTTGATCTGTGTGATCTCTGAGGACAAAAACAAATGAATGTCTATTTCTTCAGTTATGAATTCATTACTGCTGATAAAACGAGAATATGCTAATCATGTTAACTGAGATAGCATGGGACACAAATGGAATATGTGCACGTTTCTGTGCGTGCTTTGTGTACAAGTTTGCTGTGTGATAAATAGTTATGGTCACTAGTGTGTGTGTCTGGGAGAGGGTGCCCACATAAACCTACATTTAAAAAGTGCCATGTGTTTTCACAAGGGAAATATTTTCTGCTGATGTGTTGAGTAAGTCAGATGCTTTGAGCTGGTAATTAAAGCTTTCTGAGGCTTCAGCAAAATTCACTGTAAATACTGTACAAGTTTAAGCCTTGTTATAAGTCACGTGGACTCAACTTGTACTTGATGTGCACGGAGTTAAATGGTACTATATTAATGGTATGTGTAACAAATACGTTTTTCTATTCGAAAACAATCTGAGGTGAGAAAATCACCTAAGTCCCCTTTTGTTTAGTTCTTTGCCTTTTTGTTGGTGTTTAAAAGGACAGTAAGTTCATTAAAAGATCAGCAGGATCAGGGGCCAAGCTGAAATTGATCCTGGCCAAACAAACCTAATCTCACCTGGCGACAAACAGAGCCTGGTGAGCGACTCATTACAGCGACTAGGGAGAGGCTTCTGCCAAAAGGTCTGACAATGCTGCAGTGCTTCAGCTTCCAGACTAAGGTTTAATCAGGGACTCATTGATTGATTCAGGTCTACTGAGACTGGTCTGTTCCTACTCATTCTGCCATCATTTCCACTATGCACTCCAATGATTATTACAAACTATTGTATTTCTAAAAGTCACAAAAACTTGTTTGTAGAAATGACCACAATGACTTTATATTGAATACTGTACAATATTATTATTATTATTCATATGTATGCATTTTTATATATGTCTGCCATTGTGCATTTTGCTATATATTTAAAAAGTTACTCATCATGTTCAAAACTTTACATGCATATCAACTACATCTGCATAAATGCACACACATACATACCAAGAGACTATAATTAGTATTATAAGACACATTTGGACGCCGGTGGAGAATTTGCAGGGTGAAAGGGAGCCTTTTTTCTTCTTCTTTCATTTCAAGGATCTGTCACTTTCCCTACTTAAGAGGTGCCCTGAACTTCTCCTGCCTCCTGGCCAGAATAAAACGCGGTGACTCCATCCTCTTCGTCTTGACCCTCCTCTCTTAGGCTTGTTTTCCCTCTCTCATCTTTCTCATCTCCATCACTCTCTCTGTTCTGTCCCCCTCATTAGGATGTCAGATCTCATTACAGAAGGAACACAGCAGATTTAAAGGGGGAAGGAGATTGGTTTAATGGTTTGATGCAAAGCCATCGTCGTGTTTCTTTCTCTCCCTTTTACTGTGCACATGTACTATATGTGAGCACACTCATGCTGGCGAAAGGGACCAGTGCTAAGGAGCTGCGACTTCAAGCGGAAATGTCCAAGATGAGCCTCTTTATTTGCAAAGCTTTTCGAGTGGCTGCAGAATAAAGGGCTGTCCATGGGGCTGCCTGGTTGGCAGGTGATAAGGTATAAACACTTGGAACAAAACTAAAGGACTGACCAATGAATCTGTAAATGTAAATTGCATATATAATACGAGACAAAATGCATAATCACATTTTTTTCACCCTGCGCTTCATCGTTTGGTTATCTGGTTTGATTAATGGCTGAGATATAACCTTCTTTTTAGTGACTTAGACTTTAATGGCTTAGCAATAAATTATGTTAGAAGAATTTGTGTCCGTCTCTTTAAAAGATACTGGAGGCAGCAATGTTAAACTACATAACACCCCTTATCAACAGCAATAGCTCAACCTGGCTACTAGATGCACCTAACAAATAGCCGTGGCTTTGAATCTACCCATCCTGACTGTCACCACCTGAGCTACGTTGCCACATCCATTCAGAGCTGATGTTGCTCCCAGTGGTCGGAGTCATTAATACAGGCACAGATAGCTTTCATGAAACAAGGAGGCAGGGTAAACAGGCAGAAATGTAAGAATAGAGAGCGGAGGGGAAAACAAGGGGGCAATGTCTGAGGAAAGAGCAAGGAAGAAGAGGAAAGGAAGGCGTGATAGAAGGAAAGGTTGCACTCTGAAATATTAGACTTTTATAGTTCAAATAAAGGAGAGAAAAATCTAATACAAAGAAAGGTACAAATACATTTCAAAGAAAGGAAACAATGATTAGGAAAGGTTAATGATATGAAAGCAAAGTGATTAACTGTAGTCTGATTCTTCTTTTAAATACAAGAGATCTTTTTGGAGATAAACCCGTTTGTAAACCACCCTGAGGCTTCGATACTGCCGTGCCTCTTCTATCTAGCAGCATTCATGTGTATGCTGTGACGACGCAGGAATAATCGCTTGAAATAGGCCACATTAACCTGCAGTCCTCTGGGGCGCTGGCCTGGTTTAATCCAAGAATGAAACACTGCACATCACTGCCTACACACGTGCATAGTGCGAGAACACACAGATACACACTCATACTTGCACAATAATAATGTGCGGTGCGAGGATGTGTGTGTGTGCTTGGTCGATAGGAAAAGAGGATGAAGAGGGTGAGCCAGCAGTCAGTAAGAATAACTGTGTGCATGTGAGAGTGGTTTGGCCAGATGCACACACAGTCATACAGGAGCAGATGTTTAGCACAGACTTATTTTTATATTTTCCTCAGTTGCATTTAGCTGCGGTGACATTGCTATTAATCCAACACTCAGCCCAACAGTGAACATAACAGAGACCCGGGCTGTGTGGACTAGGGATGAATGGAAAGTGAGCAGACAAACTGGGTAACGTATTGACGGTGTCTGAAACTGGACCTGACTGAAAAGTAAAGTGTGCTGTCAAACTGTGTCGACTGCGCTAAAAGAAAATACCTGCAGACCTCCTAAGACGACAGGTGTGTTAGTGTTTCTACAAGAAAATGTTGAGAGCAGACACAAATCCAAAGTTCCCAAGATATATAGTAAAGTCAGAAGCACCAATGTGTCCTGTTGGCTCACTACCTCTAGCCTCTATTTGGGGAGCAAACAGCCACTATTAAAACCAGTGTTTGTATAATTAAAGTCACTTGAATAGCTTTTGTTGTATCATGCAGCTTCTCTTCGTAGTTAAGTGTCCAGTTAAGTAATGTGGTGGCCCACGCTCTCATTGAATACTGCGAGCTTCATTTGACTGTAAGTGCCTTGTTTAAATTGGCCTTGAATTAGCCTGACACTGTGGATTGTACATAGAACCACTGAATACAGCTTTGCACATTTTGAAATGAAATATGCACACAAACGTCTCCAATCTCTTCGCCGTGCAGGAATGACTTATAGCATTAATTACGTTGATCCATGCCAGCTTAATGAACCAATAATGGGAGCCTGCCATTGCCAAGAAAAGGCGCTGTGACATAATTAATGACTTACCGCTTACTATGTCAGCACAGCCCTTATCAGTTCACTATGTGCTATCACTCTCTGCATTATGAATCCTTATTAGACAACCGCCTAGTCACTGCACTGACTATTAACATGACTTTTAAAACATGCTGCGCTAAGGCCAAGCTTCGATTCAACGGTCCAGTGACTTCAGGGCGGGGTTCATTTCGGTGTGTTGATTTACCGCTGTAGTTACATGGACTAAGCACAGTAGGGTGAAATAATGAGGTGAAAAAAGGCTCAGGCTTAAATACTCTGACGGAGGGTTTAGCACTACGAATATCAGACAATCTATTAAAATACTGTATCGTAGTAGAAGCGTATTGTAAATCTCAGACGTAGCAATTAAATGAACACGGTCTAATCCACAGTCTATTGATTTTTGTAGCTGCAGTGCAAACTTCCTTTGTGAGGCTTCTTATACCCATTTTTAAACTACAAATACAAGGCACAGTAAATTATAGATAACAGTGGATCCTCTCTGTACACTTCTGAAGAGCACTTGTTAGATTACTGCTTGCAAGGTCAATTCTATTTAATGCACTGTTCAGGAACCAACCGTAATCAAAGCAATATCCCACAAGAATAAAAAGCAAACCAATGACCCCACTAACTCTGAAGTGTGCTTCAAAGGCTACACTCAGTGCTTAAATGCAAACTCCTGCTGCTTTCAAGTGAGTCGAACTGATCAACTCAGACGCTGGTCTAAAGCGGCGTATTTAATGCTACGATTCTAACCCAAATGCTAATGATAGCTATTAAGAGTAGGCTGGTTAATGACATCCAGGGAGCTGTGAACGTGCCGTGACCGACTTGGGTGTTTTCATGTGGGTAAGATACGGTAATGGGATTAACATGGCGTACCTAAACCCACATTGTGATAAGCTCAATGAGGCCCTATTAAAAATACATTGCTGGCAACAATGGAGTTACGGAGGGAGTGGGTAAGAATAAGTGTCTCTGACTGTGTGACTTTGATAGAAAATGTGCCCAACCGTGCTTCTTTCTTAACTGGATTAAAATAACAGAACAAAAGTGTTGATGGCCTTTTATAAATGCCTTCTTATTTTTTTTACATCCAATATATTTTTCTCCACCTGGGTTGTTTGAAATGTGTGTGATTTACCTCACAGCATGAAGTAGGAGCATTAACCATACAGAAAAAGGCTGTAACATTCAAGTCATTGTTGCATTTACAGTGTATCGTGCATTCTTTACATCGAGTAAGTGAACATCAACTAACATGAGGAGAAGGCTGTGTCACCTATACAACGTTATGCAATGTTCATAATGAAGTTTACATTTCCAGGGAAGGCCTTACCGGTGTTGTTGCGGTAGGGGCCTGCGTCCGGCCCCTGGCCCTGGCTAAGGCTCCTCATAGGGCCCTTGCTGTGGTAGACACGCTCTTCATAGATGGGATCTATATGGTGCTCTGGGGACCCCAGGGGCCGAAGGGGCTCCTGACTGTGCTGACTACTGTAGGATCCACGAGAGCCTGGAGAAAAAAGATGAAAGTCAGATGTCCATTTTCACCCTGTACATTTCTCTTTGCTGATTTATGTGGTAGACAGATAAGGGTGTGCGGGGCAAGTTGTTAGAAAGGCACCAGAGTAAGAAACTAAGTAGAGAAGGAATGACAGAATAATAAAGAAAGATTACATAAGAGCACATGACAAATAGGCATATATAGAGAGACAGAGAAAAAAAGAGCGTCAGAGAGAGGGATGCCTCTGTAATTCATTTTTTACATCTCCGCAGAACACATTGCTGGTCGTCAGCTATAAAATAATGAGTTGTAGTGTCCCCCCTCTTGTTCTGTGTTTGGCAGGAATCCCAAAGACACAGGGCAAAGAAGACGTTGACAGCAGGCATTTGTTCATTACACAGCAGAACAAATGTAAAGCCTCCCTCTGAAAACACAGAGCTAAAATAAAATTAGGAAGGAGTAGAAAAGCAGAAGACTGGGGGAATGGGAAGAAACGTCAGCAGGGCTTGGCATGTCAGGAGATGGAGATGAAATTAAAAAACGTTGACATACTCATATATACAAAGCCATATATGCACAGCAATGAGTGAGAGTAAAAGAGATGGTCCAGTGGAGTTAACGTCTTATCATATCGCATTAGCTCTCAATCCTTGGCAAGTGGCGTGCAGAGCATTTTTCAGAGTGCTGTGCTTCAATACTGGGATTCAGACCTCAGCGTGAATCCACTGTCAACTTAACAAAGTCAAAACCCTACAACCCTTCAGATCATATCAGAAATCGATGCATGCGAGGGACTGAGCATCTCAGTGCGTGAGGCTATTCTGTAGTTTAGGATGGTGTGTATTGTCATAACTGCTCAACAAAGCAGACAAGTCCAAGATAGTATTTTAAAGAAGAACATCCTAAAACTCTTTTATTGAACAACCTACTGTAAGAGGTATGTTGGTGCAGCACCTTTGGGGATGAGCAAGAGTGTGAAGCAGCAGTTAGTCTCATATTATCATGGGTAGAGAGGCTATTTACAATGTTGCAGAAAGCGTCAGAATAAGGGAGTAAGATAAAGAGACAGAAGAGGTCAAAAGACTTTGACAGAAATGAATGGAGAATGACAAATGGATGACATGTTGGATGCTACAAGACGCACTGAGCTCCACTGAAATGAGGTGAATATAGACACAAACAGAGGGAGGATAGAGAAGCAGCAAAGAGACAGAGATGGTCAGAATATGCATGAAGGAGTGCTAATTAGACTCATGGACACACCCATTAACGGCATGACTCATCCCAGCCCTCTCTCTTCCTTCATCCCTTTCCTCTTTGAAGTCTTGGGGAGTCGGTTTTATTTCTTTATTCATTTATTTTTTTGACTCACAAGGGCACACTTGTGAAAGTACTGACCTTCTTCTTTCAAAGGGAGAGAGCATTTAAAGAGGAAATGAAAGAATGACGCAGAATGAAGAAAATAGAGAGATACCCTCTCATTCAGCAAATATCAAAAGAAATAACAAAATGTAAAAACCAACTGTGGTCCCTTGATGGCTCTGTTTTATTTGTGTAGTTAACAAGAGAGCAAACTAAGCATCACGCCTACAGTAAAAAGTAAGATATAAAATTATTAGTTCTTTGATATGTAACCATGTACCGTACCTCCTGCAATTCTACCAGGAAAGTGAGTTATATCTGTTATTGTAATATTTTCCTCACTCAGCTGGGTATAGTGCCATAGTTTCACTTTGGCAAAATGTAAAATGGGACTCCGGACCTCCAAGCAGAAAGCAACTAGATGGACATTTTTTTTTATTTTAGGCAATTTCAGTTTTACACAGCTTAACTTCACTGTAGAGTAGGTGTTATGGAGCAGGTAAGTACCCCTCGAAACAGGCCACTCACAAAAACTCTACTGTGCTTTTTCCAGGTGGATGTTGTCCACCGAGGGAAGCAAACCTCTGTAATAGTTTCCACAAATAACTCTCCGCTGGTACAATTTTTGTAGGGCACCAAAAGTCACAATTTCAAGATAAATCTTGCATTTCCCGGATTGACAAGTTGAATTGAAACTGTCCTGATCAACTGCAACTCGATTAATTAATATGAATCTTGCCAAAAAGTTCATACATGAAAAGATTATTTAAATTTGTTTTAGAAAAAAGGTCAGCCTTTTGCACAGGATGCTGTAACAGAGACACCAATTTGGCATGTAATATATGTGAGTAAATAAAAGTAACATTCATCTCTGAGACACAGTTAATATCTCTTATTCTGCAACAAAATTATAATCTGAATATATACACAGCTCACAAATAAAACCACTGATGAGCTTTTTCATTCATTTTGAAGTTTTTCTTTATAATGGCAACAAAAAGCTGTGACATCTCTATTCCGAGTAAATAACTCTTATATATTGGATAATTCAAAATACTTAAATGCAGAACTTTTTTTGTTTAAGGGCTGTGAGATGCATTGATTCACCAGGCTAAATAAACAACAGACACAAATACTTATTAACATATTAGCATTTTGAGAGATGTTCTAACACCCCTTTACTCCTCACAGTGCAGTTGGTTTACCAGCATAATCAGGACGACACACAGTAAGGTTACTAAATTCCCGCGGTGGGCTTAATGTGTACGTGCATGTGAGAGTGTGTGAACGCCCACCTGCCAGACTGCCAGGCCTCTGCAGAGTCGCTGTAGCGTAGAGCTCGTGGTTGATCTTGTACTGGTCAGAAGCGTGGTGAGCTGCCAGGCGTTTGGGAGACAAAGTGGCATAGCTCCCTATGCCTGAACTCATCTGCAGGGACAAGAGTCGTTGTTTTTTCTTTAAAATATTGTAAATGACATCAGTTATAACCTGATGAAATTACCTCTTGTTTAATTACAATATGTTAGCAGTCGAATATGTGACAGCTGACATGGCTGACTTGTTTTGAGCCGTGTACTTTAGATAGAAAGACATTGTACCTGTCATCGTGTCTTGGAAATCTATTTACTATGCCAAATTACTTTTGTGTCTTTATTTTGTAAAATGGGCTTTTAAACAAAAATTGGCACTATGTGTAAACCATGTCGAAATCACTTAGCCTTAAGAATGTAATATACGCTGGAGAAACTCACGCAGAAAAAACTTTTCATTATTGTAGTGTGACATAGTGGATAAGTAAATCCTAAAAATGTGCCTCAGCAACCAGGGTTCAGATAAGGTGCTGTTTGGAAAGATAACCGCATTGAAGAACTAAAATGGACTGGTATAGATCTTTTCTAAATGTATGATTCAATCTGCAATTGCTCTGGAGCTACGCCATCCTTTGTCATGATTAAAGATCTGCTAAAGTGGACAAGACTATAATCTTCTCTCTGACACCTAGCCGCCCAGCATCAATCAATATTATGACAACACAATATCATACCTAGATACATTTTACAACTGTCAATTACAGCTCTGTTCCTGAATATCAATAATGGGCATTTGCACTGTATATACTGTACTTTGAAATATAACATATGTACTGTTGTGGCTCCATGTAATAGTATTATGTTAAAACTGTACATAGTATCATTATATAATTATAAAACCAGATCAGGATAATATTTAACTGACACAGGTTTTATAACCAGTATCATTTGCAATGCACATTAAAGGAGTTGTTTTTATATTCTGGTAACACCAAATGCTTTTCTGCGAGTGTCACATTCTGTACCTGGTGGAGAGGGGACGATGATGAGCTGGCCCCTCCCCCAGATGTAGAGTTGGGTGGAGATGCGACCCTTAGGGGAGACCCGCCCCCTCCCGCTGATGTCACAGCAACTGTAGTGCTGGAAGACAAATATGCAAAGCAGCATAATTTGCATGAACAATAATGACTTCAAATTATTCATTCCACTTCACACAACAGTTATATGTTTGTATGTAAGTGTTTTATATGTACTGCTTGCTAAAAGACAGTCCAAAGATAATTTATTCTCCTCAATGTTTTGGTCTGAAAAACTTATACATTAGACTGATGTGTTAAATACAGCAATCACCTTAAAACACCTTCATAATCAATGTCACGGTCACTGTGGATCTGTACCTGTATGACTTGGCCAGGCGAGTACCAGGAGACGGTTTGCTGGGGGAGGAGGAGGAGGGCAGGCGTTGAGTGGTAGAGTACCCCGGGGTTTCAGAGGAGGATCCCAGGCGTTGGAGTTTACCTGGGGAGCCGGAGCCTGAGCCTGAGCCTCCTCCTGCAGACAGAGGGGAGCCGACACGCTGGACGGGTAAGGTGGAGCTGGAGTAATAGATACCTAGACAGCAGAGAAAGGGAGGCATATTTAGTGAAAAGCAGAAGAATGAGTAAGAACGTTGTTAGGCAGACATCAGTGAGTCTTAGTATATTCTTGAAATGATATCACCTAGTAACTGGGAGAAATAGTCTGCCCAATCCAAACCTGTTGCTTTGCTATTGAACTTAGAGCTATTCATTGATTTTCTAATAAAAAACACCATGTTCGAGCCTATGGTGATTTATAAGTGTACTTAGTACCAGAACACCTTAGATCAAAGAGCAGTGGGGGACTTTGTAGTCATACAAACATGCTCAGCACTCTGCTAGTAGCACATCTTTTTCATTTCATTGGCCTGTATGTCTGTCAGTATCTCAACATGCCATGTCTGTGTATCCACAATGTTGTTGCAATGTGAGATTCATTTATTGTAAAGAAAATGCATCTCCATGGACAAAGACCGAGATGAATGGGGAAGAGAAGGAGGGGTGAGTTCTTACCTGACCCTGCCCCGCTCTGTGATTGTTGATGCTGGGCTGCACGACTAGATGTCACCTGAGGGGATGTGGGGGAACAGAGAGCAAGTGAGGGAAGAGGGGCCATGACAGGGAAGAAGGGATGAATAGAGGGAGGGATAAAGTGAGGAGGGAGAAGTTGAAATGGGGGAGAGACAGAGTTAGAAACAATAGATAAAAAGAATAAAGAGTAGTGGCCATGGAAAACTTTAATGCACAATGAGTACAGTGAAGCCTTTGATGAGCACTGAATGAACCTAGAGCAGATGGTAATGAAATCCCCACAGAAAACAGGGCGATTCAAATAGACTCAGAGAAGCCCTAGGAGTTTGGCTGGCTGAAATAATTTCTCATAAAGCGTTGTTGCACCACCTACTCAAAGTTAAGGGAATGATTACAGTCAATTGTCTATTCCATAGTGTATTCATGTCTCAACATCCTTTAACTGCCATCTGTAAACTTCAATATTCACAAATCCTTAAGATTAGTTATTACGGAAAAAGACAAAAGAGAAAGACAAAGCCATATGATGTTAAATCAAATACAAAATCCAATCATGCTTTGACTACAATGTGCGATTAATTTCTAAACAGACAAAAGACATGATTCAGTGTGAGGCAAAGCTTGAGGTTGAGAAGCCTCTCTACCACACATCACATTATGGTCCATCATAATATATTCTACCAAATCTCCAGAGACAATGTTTGAAAGCATAATGCTGGTGCTCCACTGAGCCTCATATAGCTTTAAAGGGGATTCAAACATATTACTACTGGACTGACATGGCTGCAGTTGTACAAGGCCACATTATGCACACGCTGTCTGAGTCACCTTGAAGCTCCGTCATCACTGCATATACAGAAGTTAATCTACGACAGTCAGAGAAATTGAAGTACTAAAACCTTAAAAGATACACACAATTTGATTTGCTGACATATCAGGAGAAGCTGTCACAAACAAATATCAATCTCAACTACTTGAGTGTTTGACATTATAATACCTGTAAATTGGAATTAAATGGACGGACACTTTGAACACATTTAAACAGTTATACAAGCACACAATTCAAAAAATAAATGACAACAAACATATGATCATCCAATAAACGGGTGTCACAGAACAGGCCAATACACGCACACAATACAAATCCGGTGTTATGTTAAAAAGCTGCATTTGAACATAACAGTTTCCAGGTATGAATACTGGCAGCTTTACTATAGTGCAGACAAAATGAAAAAGCATGTCTGCTAAACCTTCCCTGGATAAATATAGCAACACACACAGACACACCATCTCTCATTCTGTTCTGAATGGCAGTTCCTGGTTATATTTCCCTGCTTTGTGATGAGCCAAAGCATGTCGGGCGAAGACAACAAGCCTTTGGTTGCAGCACTGCTTTGTTTGCAGAGGGGTCATGAAAACTGATTTATCTCTGGCTGAGAGGATTAGCAGTCTCTTTCAAAAAATCTGACACACAGTTTATGGAGGCACACAGACAGAGTAGCATACACAGGCAGACACAGATAAGGAGTGAAGGAATGGGAAATTGGTGAAATGACAAATAGGTAAGAAATGTCGGATGTACGGTATGCTTCTATATATCGTCTTACAAATTCTTGACTCAGTAACATGCTGATATTGTTTGTGTCTGTCTATAAGAACTGCTTATGAAAGTTTACAGAATAGGATTCAACCTTGAGTTACTGATCCACCCTGATCTCAACACACAGGAAGTAAATCCTGGTTGAAGCTGTAACTTCTCCCGCTTCACAAAGCGATGGGCTGTAGTTTTACTCTTAAACTAACCTTGGACGGTAGAATTTTTGAAAATGTCAAAATATGTGGTCATGCACTCGGATTACCAATAATGAATAACCTCAGTTTTTCCAGTACTATGTGTTCCAGCTCTGCGTGTCACATTTTGGATGTGAAGAAAATAGAATGAGCTGTAACGAGGCAGAGATGTTCACAGTATCCTGCGTTGTTAGTAAGCTATTATTCCCTGTGTGTATACTCTTTCAGCTGCCCCTTTAAACAAAGTTAAGCAAACAATGCCTTTAGGTCCTAGCCATTTATCAAACAATGCTTTCATCTCCCTGCTATACAGCAACAGAGTGCAGCTTACATCATTTTACATCAGTAAATCCAGCAATACTAAGACGTATGCCATATTTGCAGCTTTTCATCAACTAGTCATCCCACCAACATTTCTCCAGAAACTCCATTAACTACTTGTTATCTTTCTTGTACATATAGGAAAACCTGGTCTGACCAATAGTTATTCCTTATTCGTTAACGACTACACTCGTGCTGCTGTCATAGCATTAATAAATGCAGATGCCAAAAATTGCACTTATTGTGTTTTTTAGAGCGCATATGGAAAAATGTTTATAAGAGAGTAGATTATAAAAAGTGTCTATAAACAGCCAGAGAGAGAGAGAGATCTTAATCAGGATGTGAGACACTATCAGGAACAGTGTGCGCCATAAAGATCTCCTTCATAAGTCCCCTGTGTTAGTTTAGTAGGTTATGAAGCCAAGTGAGAGATGTAAGGCTGATGAGACGCAGGACACATGACTTTAACTTTAACAACCTAATTAATGTCTTTATTTCCTGATTGTGTTCTACACTGCAGATGTGCTCCAGTCATCAAGATGCAAAGTGAGACAGAAATGGACCTTCACACAGATGACAAGGTGAGTGGGTGAATGAATAAACAGATGGATGGGTGATTCAGCGGGTAAATAAAAGATGAGCATAGATGAATTGTTGGCAGAGTTAACTAATAAATAGAAAGCCTGACAGTATGTGAGGAAGAGCACTTTCTGCACCCCAGTCTGTCATGTTGCAGTGCTGTTTCTTTTCTCCTCCAGTAAAACACTGGGATGTTTGAGGTGCCATGTAGCCATGCATTATTAAAGCTGGGCCTCTCAGGGTTATAAATACCCTACAGAACAGCAGCAACATACCAGACCTTTCACTTTCTCTCTCACTCTCCATGAAACAGTCACCTGGGCTAACTTTTGAACAACCATTGAGTGAATACAAATAAAAACATGCATGTGCCTGCATCCTGCATGTACTATACATGCATGCAAGCTGCACCTGCCTTTATGACAGCACTGGCTTGCGTAAAGCTATTCTGTGAAAAAGCCCTGCTGACAACACTGGCCCCATTACACTGACAAGCCCAAAACATCAGAGAGGAGGATGCATTGCACACACACACACACACACACACACACACACACACACACACACACACACACACACACACACACACACACACACACACACACACACACACACACACACACACACACACACACACACCACACACACACACACACACACACACACACACACACACACACACACACACACACACACACACACACACACACACACACACACACACAGACAGAGATGGTGAACAGAGAGGACAGGCAAGGAAGAAGGGGGGAGAGAAAGAGGACAGGAACACTGCAATGTAAAGTAAACCGAGGAGAAGAAATATTATAGAACACAGAATACAGACAGAATAAAAACTCTTTTTGCCCAGCCCATCCATGTATATGCTTGTTGTTCTGTTTTTCTATCTTTTGACCTCACGTATTTCTCACTTTTTCAGGGAAGGAATGGGAGCTGTCTCTGAAACCAGTTCTGAAATGAGCTTAAGCCAGACTGTGGAGGGAGTTGAATGAATGCGTTCACAAATACAGATATCATCCAATTCACCTTTCTCTTTCATAAAAACATTTACATAAGCAGACAAACACACACTTACAGTACACACAGATTTGCACATATACACAAACATCCAATGAGAAAGTAAAAAAATGAAAAAAAGTTTCTTGCTAAGACGCATTAAAGATTTTGTTATTGGGGTTAAGTGTTTTTGAACTAAAATACTTTCTCTTACTTTTAACTCATACCGTTTTAGTGTGTGGGTGGTTGTTTGTAAATATACATCTGTGTGTGTGTGTGTGTGTGTGTGTGTGTGTGTGTGTGTGTGTGTGTATAAGAATGCAGCACGTGCATTACCAGTGATATGTTAAGGACATGAACAATTGGAAAGAATTGGCTCCTGTAGGCTGTAAAGTAATTAGATGTGTGTTTCTCTCCCCATCAGTTCACTGCTGTGATTCATATGTGACTTTGTTTCAGCTTTATTTCTCAAGTCCTTCATACATAAGACACTTGCTGAGATTCCTCTGTGTGCATTTAATCATCTCCTCATTTGGTCTATGAGCATCTGATTACCTGTCTCCTTCTAAACAGCTTTAAATAATTTGTCTAACCCTGTCTCATGATCTCCTCCCAAATACAGACAAATATGCCATGAATTGCTTTTAAAGCCACTCGTAGTGACTCAACCACTTCGCTAACACTCATAAAACTTGATTCTGCATAAATATGTACTTATATACACTAATCAACTGTGATGTCAAACAAATCCACATTCACACAGAAGCACCATGCAAGAGGAAAAAGAAGGGGGATGTTCGCTCCGTCTCTAAAGGAATAACAGAGCAAGGAATCTGAAAATCTGCATATACAGTAAACAGTGTATCTCAACAGTAAAAGGAGTTCAATGCTGCTGTACTTAAAAACTGTGATAAGTACCTTCACATCAAACTCTTTAATGTCATTATTTTGCCTCTCTGACCCTCAATGTACTGCATAACTTTTCTTAACAACAGACAGTTAAGTTTACACAAATGGCCAGTCGTAGAATTTCCTCTCTCTGTCATCATCTCCACACTTCCACACACCCTCGTTATCGTCAGTGAGCAGCAGGGTTTCCTACCTGGTTGTAGCTGTGCACGGCTCCTCCAACATGCCCGCTGCGCTGAGGAGTTGCTGCGGAGATGCTGTCGCTATGGGCGAGGGTCTGGTTGCTATGGTAGCTGGCAGAGTACTGGAGCGAAGCCTCCGGGGTGGAGTTGAGCTGCAAGGAACTCTGGGAAAGAAGAGCTGGTCCTACCGACAGGAATGGTGTATGGTTGGGTAGGTGGTGGGGGTTGTGTATGGTGTGTGTTCATATATAGAGAGAGTGAGAGAGTTGGTAGAGAGAGATTAAGAGTGAGTAAGAGAGGGGGCGGTTGAGAGGCGAAGAGTGAAATGGGGGAGAGAGAGAGAGCAGCAATTTAGAAGAGATAGTGCAGCAGTGCAGCACTCCGTGAGTTGGAGATGGCATACATAATTTATTAGCAGAGGGAAGAGAAACAGAGGAACAGAGAGAATGGGAGGAGGAGGAGAAGCAGGGAGATGGAGAGGATGGGATGGGAGGAGGAGGAGGAAGGCTAAAAAGAAAAAAAGTTGTAATAGATGGAGCACCTTTAACTTGATTTGTTGCCTCCCCAAACGTGTTAACTTTTACCTTGTATTCGACTTGAGCAAAACTTCACCAATTGCGTGAGGAAGTTCTGGTTTTGAATGAATAACTTCAAATTGTTTTATCCTGTCTATTCAATATGGCTTCACATACCTGATCGGCTGGAGTACAGCCAAAGCACCTGCCATACATGTTTAAAGCCTTAGCATCATCATTTTGATTATGAACCAAATCACACACACACCACGCACACGACAATCTCACCGCCATCATCCATACCACCTGACGGTCACTGCTGTGGCGACAAATAATAATCCCTCTAAGATTCCCATGCTGTGCACATAGAGCTTATATTGATTCGGCAATAAGAACATCATAAGGCAGTTTGTAACATGGACTCTTTTGGAAACAGTAGATGGAGCGAAGGGAACTGTTACATGGTGGTGTAGGTTATCTGTATGCCTGTTCATGTGTGGTATAATTGAAGAGCAGTTAGGTCTGTGACCTGTGCACTTAACGGTGCATAAATATTTGATATATATATATTAAAATGCTATATTTACCTTTTTCTGAATACGAATTTCAAGCATATTACAGTTGTTACAGTTACGCAGTGTAAGGAAGGCACAACTAGGATGTCTATCTGTTTTATTACATTCTTACCAATTTAAAATGTCGAAATATTATAAATATATCCCTACAAAGTGTAGAGTCTGGTCTCACTGCCATGCAAGTTTCTTGTTACAAACTTAATAACAAAGCCCTGTTATTATTCTCCCATATCTTCTTGCCTTCTCTCCCCATCTGTCTCCCTCCATATCTCTCTTCCCCCAGAATCCCTTTCTCCCTGTGAACCAAGATCAACTCCTCTGCTTCTTGCCTTCACAAAAGACTTTTCTCATCTCCATTCATCCCTCGCTTTTTATGAATTATTAAACAGCACTTTGACTTACGCAGACTGAGTGGGAGCTCCCAAACTCATCATCACTTGGCCTTGATGTTTGTTACATCGTGTGCTGCGTGACAGAAACTGTTGTGTGTCGGTTTCAGTGATGTGACCTAAAGTGTTTATGTGCTGGATGGTCAGATGATAGGACAGCCATTATGTTGATCGATTGTGCTAATGGTTTTATAGGAGATCATGTGTGTGTGTACATGTACATTTAAGTATTCTGTGTGTATACAGCTTGTGTGTTTGATAATGAGTTAGAAGATGAAATGGAGTATGATAGTCTCTGTTCTGACATGGAAAATCGAGCAGCTCAGTCAAATCATGAACAACTACAAAACATACCTAACATAAACGCAGGGTTTCACAGTTTTAAAAAGGTTTAAAGATAGCACTTTATACCAAGGCCCAAAGGAATCTCATTTCCTGATATTACCAGTTGTATTTGTGTCTCTCAAAACACTTATGTGTGTGTAGTTGTGTGGCTCTGTTGTGACACTTACCAACTACAGTATAAGCTGAGAGCAAAAAGCCTCTCTGTTTTGTGGCACCTTTCACTGAAAACAGCTTCATGTCACTATTCTGGGTATTTACCACTAAGCTATTTGCAGTGCAACTATCTGGGGGAAAACACACATACAAACACACACACTGGATTTGTCTGCACCCACACACTGTGATGCCTTTCATACAAACCCATTTGCAGAATGAGAAACACAGCTGGGTGTGAAGCAGGAGCAATAAGTGTTCCCACAATGAAAGAGAAAAATATATTTGGATTCAGATAAAGCACGAATGATGGAGATTCAGGGACTTCTTACAAGCAAGATAACAATCAGATTATCTATCGCCTCCCCACTGTTCTCCTATTTGCTTCAAAATGAGACCGACGATAAAGGTAAATATTGTAAATCAGCTTTCTAAGCTTTACCCTGTCCAGCTTTTGAGATACTCTATAGACATAAATCTGAATGCACTGTATAAGCAGATGTGTGTGCTATAACAGTCACACATAATGTAGGTGCCACACTAGCCAGCTCATTGTAGTAGTAGAAGCAAGACACATTGTAAAACGTTTAATATGTGATTAAACATTTCAGGTAGAAACAAACTAAGATTCTGGTGCCTTGGCCTCGCTCATCAAATAATACAAATGTGTTTCTATTACTTTTAGTGTGTAAGAACATTTTTTACATTTAAAAAATACTGTACTTACTTAATTTAAGTATATACTTTATGTCTTTTTCCAAGAACTAAACATGCTCACTGAAAGAAGAAATTAAATCTGAGTGAGAACTAAATATTACAAAGGGAATTGCTGCACTTAGGCTAGATATTTCATGGCTTAAGGGACTAATAAAAGAACATTTTCTCATTTCCTTTCAGCAAAACAATAATAATTAACAAAACACCCCATAATCTTTCAGTGCAAAATCAACCACGGTTGTAGTTTTAGTCAGATTGCCGCGATACCCCCTTCCCCTCACTGTTTTAAGGCATCACTGTGCATAACAATTAAAATGTGATTGATATTTTTTTATTTGAAGTAGTTCTGTTTACCCTAGCTGACGTGCCTGCTAGAGCTGTGCAGACAATTACAATGAAGAGAAGAATATAAATAATTTCCTGTCCATGCACAATGAAATTGTTTAAGATCATATGCACACCAAAAAAAGGAAGAAGCTCACATTAAATTTCATTTGGAGTTTGTTTTGTTTGGGTTGCATTTCTGCTTTGGTCTGAATCATCTCAATAGCACAAAGTTGATTATTAACACATACCTAAATAAGACACTATTTTATAAGGATTGCATCCTCCTTGCCCTCCCAAAACATACACACACAAACACACAAGGACGCGGGATATTACACTTACGTTCTCCACTGTCAAGTATCCCTGATTCCTGGAGTGAGCGAATGCAGGAATCTACCAGCTCCAAACCAGTGGTCAACTCGTCCTCGATATCCTTGTGTCCATCTGCTGTGAAGAGGATAAGGATGTTGAGTGTTAGATATATGACACTAGAGGACCAATCATTAGGTGTATCTCTATCAAAGAGTGTGTGATTGTGGACTTGCAGATTAACACTGACTGTCAAAGCAAACAGACGCCTTTTTCTGGCCGCACTTTGACATTCTGATATGAGTGAGATTGTGCTACTGTGTGAGTGTGCAATCATTTCTTAATCCATCAGGTATGTGGGTGGGTGCTTCTGCCCATATATTACAGGGCCCTTCCATATGTGCCTTGACACACAATTTTCCAAGTGTGTCAATCAGACAAGAGGCGGAACAGGCCTTGTTGCTGTCGGGACTATAAATCTATTCCTTAAATCAAGATGAAGGAGGAATAGGATAGCTAGAATATTTTTGGCGGTGTTAGTATGTGTGAACATTTCAAGGATTTCAGTAATAAAAAAAAATGGCAGTGACATGTTTGGAGTCAGATCTTGCAACCATACCTTCACATGCAGGGCGGAGCAATGTGTGTGTGTGTGTGTGTGTGTGTGTGTGTGTGTGTGTGTGTGTGTGTGTGTGTGTGTGTGTGTGTGTGTGTGTGTGTGTGTGTGTGTGTGTGTGTGTGTGTGTGTGTGTGTGTGTGTGTGTGTGTGTGTAAAAGCATTCATAGTGAACTTTACCTTGAGCGTTCCAGCGAAACTGCTCATCTGTTGAACTGCAAAAGAAGGAGGTAGCTATTAAAAACAACAATAGAACTGTAAATAAAAAAATACAAAGTATTAAGAAAAATAAAATATATTGAAAAGCTAAAACCTTGGAATCACCCCATTGTAAAGACATTCAGTGTTAAATGTCTGTATTTCAATATGTCTATTTAATATATAATGTACTGAGGGAAGCTGCTTATTGCCTACATCTCTGTCACATTCTGCTGAAGTATGAAAATAACGACAACAAAATATATATATATTAGGGGTGTTGAAAATAATCGTTTCTACGATGCGGACGTGGACGATTCGGTATCGATGCAGTGACGGAAGATAATCGATTATAGCGTAGTAACGTTGCTTCCTGATTTTCCGGCCGCGGCTTTACTATAACGTTTTTTTTTCTGTCACTTTAATATCAAATCGGTCGGTGACGCAGAGATCAGGGAACAGACGTGACAGCGGCACAGCGGCACAGCAACACCAAACACGGAGCAGTCTGCTTTATCCACCAACACAAGAACACCAGTCCAGAACCAACAGCAGAAGGACCCGCTCTGAATCACTCCGTGTCGCTGCGGCTCAGAGACACAAGGATTTATGTTTTTCAAAGATAATCGCGTTACAATCATGTCAGGTTTTTGGTGGATTTAATTAAGTCTTGGATTGCAGAGTATGAATGTCCTCTAGCAATTTTCAGACGATATATACGTGTGTAAAGTTTGTGAAGGCAGGAGGAAAAAAGCTTCCGCGATCACCGTCTCCTCTCCGTTCCTCCAAACCCCGCCCCCTCCTGAAAATAATGGCTGATAGTGACCCGATAGAAACTTTATTATTCACTTAATCACTGATTGAGATATAATGAAGCTAACTTAATCTCATACATTCATGGGATTTATGTAACAGTAAGACAGAGAAGGTAAGTGTGCACCCACATGCAGTATTTTTGTTTGTATATGCTATTGTAAATACTCCTGTTGTCTGCTGTGTTCAGACTCAAGTCCTGTGTGTGATGCCACATTCAGGACATTCAGTGTCCTTTTTTTAACAGAAGACCGTAGCTAGAAGCTGCAGCTAGACTGCAGAAGTATTCGTTTTTTGTTTTTGAGGATGGAACAACTTCACACACAGATATAGGGAGGCTAGACCTATACAATTAATTTATTTTGGTTTATAAATTAATGTCAAGACATTTATGTTATTGATTTCTGAAGCACTTTCTAAATAATAAAAAGAGAGTTCATATGTATTTACTGCATGTATGCATTGATGAAAAAGAAGCCATGTGCAGTAATATAGAAAATTGAGGATGCAACGCATTGGTATGAATCGTGATGCATCGTGATGCATCGGGATATCGAATTGAATCGAATCGTTGACAGGATAATCGTAATCGAATCGAATCGTGAGACCAGTGAAAATGCACAGCCCTAATATATATATATAAAATGAAACTCAATCACTCACTTATGTCAGGCAGCAGAGGCCAATTATTTACAAAACTAACATTTTACAGAATTAGCATTCAGATAACTTTCCTTTTATTCTCAAATGGATGGTGCTGCAGACACATAAACAAGGACACACACACATTCACACATGGACAAGAAAACAGGACTTCTTTTCCATTCTCTTGATGGCTGTCAATTGATCTGTGATTGAGCGAGCTGAACTGAGAGAAAAAGACGAAGAGGAGGCAGCAGGAGACAGACGGGCAGAGAGAGAGTATTGAGCGGCCCGCTGTGTGATCAATGCAGCAGACACAGACAGACTAACTGATACATATAGACTCTTTCATCTGACTTCATCTACACCATTAGACTGCCTGTCTGGACAAGTTGGCTTGTGTCTGCGTTTTGCCATTTAGACTGTTTGGTATTCCACATACTCCACTTTCTAATTGGACGTGTGTGTGCCTGCGCGCCTTGGGTGTCATTGTACACTTTGAGTCTAAAGTGCTTGTGTGCCTTCATGTGTGTCTAAGTTTGTTGAGGTATAAGAGAATCACTGAATATATTTACATGTGTTTATCTGTCTAATTGGCTGGTTGGCTGGGATGGTAATGGACTTATAGACATGGACAAATTCCAACAAACTTTCATAGGTTGATTTGACTGATTGAAATAATTTATTTTAAACACAGTAGAAAAACTATGAAGCATCAGTGTCTTGTAATGCATGCAGCTTATCATGGTCCACCATAACGATTGGCAACAAGACATGTTGTTAAGGAAGTAGCCAGTGGCAATTTGGTCTAAATCTGTTCAATGTGTTACGTGAAGCTACTAGGAAACACATTTTTTGTTGAATAATTTAATGTAGCATGTTAGACGGTTGACTGTGTGTGGACTGAATGGAGGAAAGCTTCAGGAGGCAGCATGTGTTGAGTTTCTTTTCGGTGAAGGTAACTATCTTGTCACTGCTTATCACTGTGACGCAGGGGGAAGGCATGAAGGCCTTTAACGTCAGATCAGTTATGAATCATAAAAGCAGAAATGTGATTACCTTATTATATAATCACAGCAATTTCGGAGAGAATGTTCAATGGATAAATCCAGTTAAATTAAGCAACTGGCTACATAGCACTTTTAATATTTTTAGAATACTGTTTTAATTACTTTTCACATGTATCATTTAATCTTTTTACCTGCCCACCCACATACTACTCTGCATCACTGTATTAGCACTCTGCATGTTTCCTTTTATTTCAGTGATTTTTGGAGCCAAAATAATACAATAACTGTATAACAAATTAAAAGATTTGACGTTGAAACAAGTCATAGTATAATCTGCATACTAAAGTTAACAGCTCAATGGCCAAATGTGCATGCTCCTGTTTGTAATAAGGGACTACATTATAATGGAAACTTTCTCAATAATTACTCTAACTGATGTAAGGGTGAATTGAAATAAACCATGTTAAGATTTACTGCAGCTGACTAGGATAATAGGAAACTGTCATTGTTGGGTTTGCAACAGCCTGAAAGATAGAGACACTGGGTTGGGACCAATAGGTCATTGGTTCAAATGCTCTGACTAGCATGGGAAATTAAAATAGGGCAATTAGTCCCCAGTTGCTTCTCTGTGGTGAATATTATGAAAATGTGGCTGCACTGTGTAGGTGTCCTTTGTGAATTAGTTTGACTGTCTGAATATAAATTAGGATTATGCTAAGCAAATCTTTGCTTGGCCAAAAAAAGGTGCTCCTACGGCTGAGCAGTGCTTTTCTTTTTTAATTAACTACTGTTCAGATACTAGTTAATTCAGTAAGGAAAAAAAACACATAGGGTTAAAGAAAGAAACACCTTTATCTTCAGGCTTTATCTTAAAGTGTAGTTTTCTGTTTTACATGCTGGCAGGGGCTGAACCATGACTAGGCTGCAAAAGGGCTAGGCTCAAGCTACAGAAGATGCTTCATCATGTCAGATGGACTCATGTCTTTTGACTGACTTGCAAATGCCTAATCTGAGTCGTTCATTCTAAATATTACACACATCTGTTGATGTAAACTTTGCACGGGAATGTGTCAGAAAAGGGCAGTAAACTCTGCTTTTAGTGTTGCTAAGTGAAATCCCAAATCATGTTTGTTAACGAATGACAAGATCTTTGTTGAACTAGTTACTTAAATCCAATCCTTATTATAGGATTGATTTAAATCAAGCTGACGCAGAGAGAGTGGTGTAGAGAGCTTAAGTAACACTGGCAGAACACACACACACACACACACACACACACACACACACACACACACACACACACACACACACACACACACACACACACACACACACACACACACACACACACACACACACACACACACACACACACACACACACACACACACACACACACACACACACACACACACACACACACACACACACACACACACACACACACACACACACACACACACACACACACACACATGTACCTGCAGGAAATACAAAAGGGTAACAACAGTAAACATTATGTCACTGTGTTAAAGTATACACTTTTCAGGAGACACTCAGAAGGCTGTGAGACTGAAGAAAACAGATTTAATAAGCACTGTGTTACTGTGATATCTGCAATATCACCACACCAGCGAGGCAGTGTTGACTCTTCAACAGTGAGCCTGTGTTAAAGAGACATTTCAAATTCACCTCTCCACTCTCCACTGCCACACAGCTTATATCAACAGCGTCCTCTACCGTTCCCCAGGATATCCTCAGGCACACAAACCCAGACACTCTGCTTAGCATTCACACACATACAGACTGGGAGGAATATATAGTTTTCTCCTATATACCTTAAAGGGGACCTATCATACAAAATGCACTTTTGTACGTCTTTTATACATGAATATGTGTCCCCGGTGTGTCAGGGAACTCACCAAGTGTCAGAAAACACAACCCTCTCTATTTTCCTCCATACCCAAATCTCTAAAAACTGGGCTGCAACGGAGCTGATACAGATTTGAAATTGTTGTGACGTCAGAAACAGGGAGCTCCGCCTATATGGGCAACTCTCCACCTATCAGGGGAATGGGGGGTTGGGCCACGGCCATTGCTGCTCGAAAGCGCTGGAGACGCTGTAGTACATATGCCAGGCCTGTAAGTGGCGCTGTAGTCTGCCACAAAAGCAGCGAAGAAGACTTCTCACAGAATCAGCCTTTGCAAAAACAGGGCTGGAAAAGAGCAAATAGAGCGAAATGAGGCATGGCTAAAATGCATGATCTGTTTGGTATTTTGAAAAAAAAACTTCACAGACATGTTTTATATAGGTATGGCCCTACAATATATTATTCAAATATAGCATGATAGGTCCACTTTAAATGTGTAGGGGTGTTTATATCTCATGGGCATAAAGAGAATCAAACACTCAAAAGTATTATTAGTTGATTTAAACATCAAACACAAACAAACTCCCTGGTGGTGCGAGCCTCGTGGTGATAGTATACTTTGAGTTACTAATTTGATAAAATCTGAATTACCCTAATATATAAGATACAGTAAAGTGAAGT